GTTTTGGGTTGAGGGGTTAGGAGTTTAGGGTTTAGGGGTTTAGGGCTTAGGGGTTTAGGGTTTAGGGGTTTAGGGGTTTAGGGGTTTAGGGTTTAGAGTTGTTGGGTTGAGGGCTTAGGAGTTTAGGGTTTAGGGGTTTAGGGCTTAGGGGTTTAGGGTTTAGAGTTTAGGGTTTAGGGGCTTGGGGGTTTAGGGTTCAGGGTTCAGCGCAGCATGAGCCCAGTCCTTCACGGTAGCGAAGCTGATCTTCCATGTTGAAACTTTGTCAAACCAATCATCGCTGCATGGCACTTCCTCATAACTATCCCCCCTGCCCTTCCTCCCTCCGACCCAAACCCCTGATCTTTCGTAGCCAGGCATTCAGATTATGCAGGTTTCGGACCCTGCGAATGCAGGAGCACTTGCAACCAAGTCGCTGCAAGCGGAATGCTACCGTCGACAATGCAACCGACGAATTTGCGCAGGTGGTCAGTCAGCTCACGCTGACAACGCCGCATGTGAGATTTGCAGCAACAGGCCACTCTCGCGCAGGTTCGAGCGAAAAACCGCTCGAATGTTCTACATACGGTTGACTTGCCTGTAAGCCAGCAGCAACATCAAGAGTTCAAACCAAATAAAATGAGTTTAATCTGGTGCTTAAGGTCGAGCAGAAACCGGGCACGTCCGAGCGACGGTTCTGGGATTGAGGCTGGTCGTGCCGTTGAAGCAAACTCCCATTTCCACAATGTTGTACCGCTAAGAAGGAAGGACGGATCGGAGTTCGGAGATGCTTTCGGCAAGCACGCAGCCGTGGAGGCACTCAGGAACATGGAAAGAAGTGTGACCAGCTTCCTAGAGCTGCCAGGTCTAGGGTTTAGGGTTTAGGGTGCTGTTCAAGATGGACATGCAAGGAAGATTGCCTTGACCCTCGAAAATGTACCAAGAAAACCGCTGCCCCGCCGGGCCATGCCGAGAGATGTTTGTCAAGCGGGCAGCTGTACTTCCACTATCCCCTGAAGGATCTCCGGACTCGCAAACGACTCCCCTAAACCCTAAACCCTAAACCCTCAACCCTAAACCCTAAACCCTAAACCACTCAGGAAGCTTGGCCAGTCACCAAGTACAAATGCAAGACCAAGAACCACCTCAACAGGCGGCTGGCATCCGGGATCTATGGGACCTTGAAAAAGATAGGGTTTAGGGGTTTAGGGTTTAGGGTTTAGGGTTTAGAGTCTTTGGGTTTAGGGCTTAGGGGTTTAGGGTTTAGAGTTTAGGGTTTAGGGTTTAGGGTTTAGGGTTTAGGGAGAGGGTCTTCAGAATCTGGCGATGAAGGGCTTCTAAGCGGCTCCTACCAGGCACTCGTGCAAAGAAAAACGCGCAAGTTGTGCTTGCGACAGAGAGAAGAAGCTGAAGCCTTAGGCCCTGCAGGCCCCTTCAATGGTTCAGGATTTAGGGTTTAGGATGTAGGGTTTAGGGTTTAGGGTTTAGGATGTAGGGTTTAGGGTTTAGGGTTTAGGGCTGAGGGTTTACGGCTTAGGGCCTAGATTCTGTTTGCATAGCCCTTACGCCCAAAAACCGGCACCCGAAACCCTAGACCCTAACGCCAAATGCGACGATGATGCCACGATACGTGGGAACAGCGCACAAACAAATCCGCCGAGCGTCAGAAGACGCCCTTCGAAGTAAGAAGTAGCTGCAAGGATGGTACCAGATGAATGAAACAAGTAGAATAGAGCTCTATAAAAGTTCTTTGGCAGCTTTTGTAAAAGGGCCTTACGAATTCGAACAGTTTTTGGGTATATTCGACCAAAGTTACATCAGGAAACCTGGGGAAAAAACATTGCGAGTGTACTCATGCCCATCTATTATCCAAACTGAATCAGCTCGCTGACAGCGATCGGGAAGGTTCAGAAAACCCAACACCATTTTCAATTCCCAAGAACCCTAAAGCCCTACACCCCAAAAACCACACTCCTTAAATTGCACTAAACCCTTAAAATACTAAACCCCTAAACCCCAAACGCTACACCCTGAAAAGAGCAGCAGCAGCTGCTGCTGCAACCTCCCTCGCAACCGTGATTACCTGGACTGTCTCAACCCCAAAGGATCGCACCATCTCCTGCATACCCACGAGGAAGTCGACGAATCCTCGCAGCTTCTCTAGACTTGGTCCCTACGAGCCTTCAGACACGTACCCTCCGCCCAACTGCTCTCATGTTAAGCCCTAAACCCTAAACACCTAAACCCTAAACCCCTAAAACCCCAAAGCCCTAAAGCCTAAAGCCTAAACACCTAAACCCCAAACTCTAAACCGGCACTCTTGATCCCTGAAGCTCCGGAGATCAAGAGGCTCGCCATCCTCCCGCAACCAAAGATACATACTATAGAAGCCTGATAAATTGCCAAATTTCTTCCGTGGGGTTCCTTATGCCCCAAAACCGGTCCTATATTACAGGCAAGGGACACTCCTCCAAATTAAACCCACGCCTGTGCAAGTCCCTGAAAACCGGATCGAAACACATTCAAAACCACAACCCCTAAATCCGGAAACGCACAGCTTTGATATAGATCAGCACCCATATGTGCAAGCCTACAGCCCTAACTAGCCAGCAAACCTTCCACCCTTCAGCCACATGAAACCCTGAATCATGCGCTGCCTCACGCCGTCTAAAGCCTAAATCCCATAAGCCCTACTTCGGACCCAAGAAAGATGCAGCATGAGCTATGCTTGGCTGACTTCTGAACCCCTTCCTAAAAGTTAAACTTGTAGCCTACTTACTATAGCTCATATAGAAACCCCATTAAAAGTTAAAGTCCTAAGGGCCAACCAGAAGAACCCCAAGTCCCAAATTAATAATTAGAAGAGGGTTCCTTTAAGGATTCCTTTAAAGGGTTCTATAAGGGCTACTAAAAGGGGTTTAGGGCTATGCGGCCAAGGTATGTAAGGAGGATCACAGGCGCAAGCAAGTCCCAACTGGGTCGGCAGACCAGGCTCGCAGACCTCCTCCATGAGACCTCGGTTTACGGTTTAGGGTTTTAGGGTTTAGGGTTTGGCTTTCTATGGGTAGTTCTCTAAATTAGGGACCCTGTTTCGATTCCAACTATACTACGGCACCCCTTATCAAAAGGAAGAGGGACCCTTGTTAAGAGAACTACCCATATAGGGGCCTTAATAATTAGAATAGAGTTTGGGGCTACTATAATTATCAAAAGGAGCCCCCCAAAACCCCATTCTAATTATTAAGGCCCCTACATTAAATTTCGAGGCCCCAGTTCGGAGGGTTTGTGCCAGAAACCCGAAGCCATACCTACAACCTGAATCCCAAACTTCCGGTTCCTTCAAGATCCTAAACCCTAATTATTTAAACCCTGAACCCTAAACCCTAAACTCTAAAAACCCTAAACCCTAAACCCCTTCAGGATCCTTGAAGGCACGAGGATGGAACCCGAGCACTTCAGGTTCGGGGGGCCTGCGGCCATGTAGGGACCTTCATAACGAGAATAGGCTTTTGGGGTCCTTTATAG